CAAAAAAAAAAAAAGGAAAAAGGGGGAGTGGAGAGAAATAAAAAGGACGTATTTTACAAATACGTTTTTTACATTTTTTAATTGTAAAACGTATTCCGTGAATACGTTTTCTTTTGTAAAAAAAATGTGAAACGTATTTAGTGAATACGTTTTTTGATTAAAATATACAGAAAACGTATTTCGTAAAAACGTGCTTTTTATGTTGGTCCACTACCCTCTTTTTTGTTGTTTTTTGTCCACTTATTATTTTCTTATTAATAAATATATAAATTACTCCGTGCATCGCACTTGTCATTTCCTAATTTTGTAAAATGGGATGAAAATTGCAATTTATCATAATTAATTAATGACTACATCATTGTTAAGTCATTTTTTAGGGAATGCTAAAACCATTAATAGGTAAATGTTTATGTTGAGAACATATAGAGTTAGAAGACGGTAGGTAGGGTATAAGTATTTTGTCCTTTGCTAAAGAAACGGTGAATTAGCATGAAACCAAACAAAAAATAGCTCATACCTGTCAAATAGTTGCGCGAAAGGTCTATTTCCTTCAAGTACGTACAATTTCCAATTTGCTTTGGTATTGGCCCTGAAAATTATTTAAACAAAATTATAAAAAAATGGGAAAAAAACAAGGTGTACTTGAGAAATCTAAATAATAGAAATAAATACGTGTCCAACGGTGGACACTTATTCATGACTGACACATGGAGTGAGGACAAATATCAACTTGCTCACCACTATGCACATAAATAAGAAACAATATAGGACTGGTATGGTCGCAGCATGTATAAGAATCAATTAACTATCTCATCTTCTATCCAAAGTCAAGCCTCATATGCACACCTATAGCAATAGACTACTGCTGATACACGATTCCTATGCCTTCGCTCAGACCTTACAACGGTGCCCAAACATTAGAAGTATCCCCCGACGGCCTAGGCATGTGCCTTGGTCTTACAACGGGGTTCATACAGCCAGCCGAGGGCCTATGCCCTAGTCTTATAGGCGTTGCGTCTTTTGCTCCGGACGAAAAGAGGAGATTACCCCAACGGGGTCCGTTCTATAGCTACGGGGATAACTGTTCGACGACCGTACAGCTCACATCGAAGGCTACATGGTTCACATGCATACATTGATCATACCATACATATAACATCAAGAGCTGGTAGGATGAGAGCACGGCTCGTCAAACACCCCATTCATCAAGAATAGCCCTATCAACAACTATCCTGACACTTAAAGCCATTCACAACACATTCACTTAGTCGAACATTATCGACTAAGTGATTCGTGGGTCCTTTAGCAGAGTTTGGAACATTTGAAGTAGACCACTAGACTCGAAAAGACCAATTAAGTTCATATAAGACATACTCGACATGTAAAATAAGATAACAGTCAAAGGGAAGTCAAACGAGTCAGGAAATAGCCAAAATAGGGCTCGGTTGGGTGCTGTCGGACTGCTGGCCCGGGCCTGGGTCTGGGAGTGCTGGAAAAACGGGCTAGAAACAATGTCTATCGGATCTTTTTAAAATGCACTCGAGCGTTTTCCACGAAATTTTTACACAACTTAATATACTCAAAAGTACACAAGTTCACCAGAGATTGACCCTTAGAAACCATTTAAACCTGGAGAAATAATTTTTGCAATATAACAACCATAAAGAGAAATTCTTAGTCCCCAGGCAAACCTTTGAATTTTAAAGTGAAATTTTGACACAATGAGCATGAAGGCAAAATAACACAATTCCCAGAAGTTCAACTCAAAATTCCTTAAACTCAATTTTATATCAATTTTTCAAGAATCTGACCAGAACTTCAAATCACCAAAACACATAGCTACAGGTCGAATTTAACTTAAAAATTTTATACCATAGACCTTATCAACATAGGGAAAACATATCAAATTTCACATTAAAATAACCACAACTTGATTTATTTTGCAAAGTTCAGCAGCACGATCAACTTAAAAAATTCATAACTCAAATAATAGGCATCAAAATGACACAAGGCTTGAGCCAACAGATCAAGGACACCAAACCGAAGAGTTTCCACGAATTTTATATATGTCCTTCAGTTTCGACGATAAACCGAAGGGACGAACACCAAACGACAGTTAAACATAAACACACCTTATTCGAATCATGTAAAAACACCATGGCAACATTTATACACATATATACATCTGATTATAAGTCTAAGAAAGCCACCCATTACCGTACTCAAAAGGGGAGACGAGAAAACGGGCCAAGGAAGCGATGAGGAGGGCTCGACGGCAAATCGGGTCACGCGGCTCGCGGAGAAGTCGCGAGTGGTTGCCAGCTTGCGTGCAGATATGTGGCCACGGTGTTCACGGCCGGAAGCAGGATGGATGCTGGGGCGCTCGTTTGCGGGGAAGGGATCACCGAGAAGTTGGGATCGTGGGATCTTTGCGACAGTGGCCCGGGCTCGGGTGGCGATGGAAGGAGGGCGACGATCGGGAAGGAAGCGATGGTTTTGAGTTGGAGGATGGGGGGTTTCTCTTCTGGTTTCTAGATTGAGAGAGAAGAAAAGAATGCGAGGGATTTGGAGGGGGAAAACCGTGTAACATAAAGAAGAGATTAAGGGAAGATACATGCTTACCTTAACAAGGAAATGTTAATTTTGGTATCTAAAATTGATCTGCTTTCATTTCTTTTACCCCTAAATTTTCATCATTCATTTCGTTCTAAATTCTATAGGTTAATCATATTTGATAATGTGTAGAAAACTTCATTCTTGAAAGAATCCAACAGTATATCCCAATCACTAATGGATGTAGTTAGTAATTGGCCAACCAAGTACCTAAATTATGATTTGCACGTATATTTCATCCTCCAATTTCTTGAAGCATTTAATGTTTTATTTAGTTGCCTCAACTTCATAAAATTTGTCTTAATCTATTCTCTTATATTGAAAAATAAAAGGAAATATTTTCTTAAGTAAACTGGTGCCTGATCTAATTGTCCAAAATAGTGTTATTTAATTACATTAAAAAAGTTTAGAAAAAAAAATTGAATTCTTTGAAATTTGTATGGGAGTTGTAAATATAGTGATAGTAGTTATATTATTTTGACTGAAATCTATTACATTTGAGAAAAGTCTATGATTAAGGAAAACGATAATATCACATATGACAACAAGAAGAACATCAAAAGAACCAAATCTCAAATATAACAACTAAAAAAAGAAAAAATATTTATTTGTGTGAAGCTTGTAAAAAAAAAATTATTATAAAAGTTCAATCATTGTTCAAAGTACTTGAATTGAAACAATAAATGTAGTTATAATCTATATATCTATATATCTATATAAGAAGGATTAACATAAATCACTTTTAGTAACATTTTCCCGCCACAAGCATTAATTACTTACTATGGATGGAAATAATATTACTATTTAAATAAAAAATAAATCATTAACTGCATAGTTTCCATGTAACTCAGATTTCATTCTGTGTTTATTTTAGCGATTATATATTTCCTTTAATTAAGTTGATAGTTATTTTGTAGGTAAAGATGACGTAAATAATTATGTAGCTGATTTTGGAATCTTCATTTATGGAGGATTCTTTTTTATTTGAACAAATTTATTAGAATTATTAATTTGGATTAACATATATGCTATATACACAAAATACAATTTTATAGTAATATTCAAATTTATATGGCGCTAATTTTCATACATATAATATAATAAGGCAGTGGTCCAATTAAAAATTGTTCGATTTGAAAAAATTAAAGTGAATTAATGTCTAATTACACATGTTATATAATATTTTAGGTGTTTTTAATATTTTAAACATACATTTTTAATGTTCTTTTATATAAAATATAAAACCATAAAAATAATATTTTTTATTTCGCGAAGTAAGTATAATCGATATTAAAATGATAAACTAACAGCTCATTTGTCGAAGTCGAACTATCAGGTAAATTATCACATTATAAGTAGATCATTATGATCTTAGAGTTCCATTTAAGTTCCAATGGCATCGGTTCTTACTTTGTATGCCATTACAATAAATAAAAGTCAGCGTCAATTTTTATCGTACGTTGACATTTTCTTAAATAAATTAATTTGTAGTCGCGCCTATTATATTATGTAATAGAACAAGGTTAAAATGTTAGTTTTTGGGGACAACGAATTGTTAAATATCAAACTAATAATAAGTGTACAATGAGGTTCTTAATAACATATTATTTTTTTCATGATGAATATTTTATCATTTGACAATTTACTCAAGTAATATCACTATTTTATTTATTAATACAATTTAAATTATAATGTTCCCCAAAATAAACACAGTCCGTGCATCGCACGGGTTATTTACTAGTTAATATAGCATTAACAATTACTTAAAATAAATAAAAGATTGTGGAATATGCAGTAACTTTTTTTTTATTAGTATCTATTTTTATGTGTAGATTATAAATAAATATCCACGTACCATAAAACGTGATGTAGCAAAGAACTTGTGGCTAATCTAATTGTACAAAATAGTGTTATATACTGTAATTAAAAAAAACTTAAGAAATAATTTATAGTATATTTTTTAGAAAAAAATCCCAAGTTCCTGAGCATGCTCAAACTTGAAATTTCACTTGGGATTTCCCCATTGAAACGATTGGTGGATAACCCCAAGATCTCAAGCTTTGTGCATATATATATATATATATATATATCGTGGAATCCAATTAATCTGATGGCTAGATGATATGCGCTTATATACCTTTAAATTCGTTAACCCCCAGGTACAACTCCCTAAGCATGCTCAAACTTGCAATTTCGCTTGGGATTTCCCCATTGAAACGGTTGGCGGATAACGAAAGGACCTCAAGCTTTGTGCAGTTGCCTATATTTGGTGGAATGTGGCCCTCCAATTGATTGCTCGTCACCGCAAGAAAAGTCAGGCTCGGTATATTGTTGCACATATCACTTGGAAGCGTACCCGAGAGGTAATTGTACGAAGCCCGAATCTCTCTAATGGATGACAAATTGAAGATAATATATGGAACGGAGCCAGTCAACTGGTTAAACGACAGATATAGTAGTTGCAGGGAAGAACAATTGCCAAACTCCTCTGGAATTCTTCCACTGAGCGTGTTGTTTCTAAGGTTCAGTAGCTCAAGCTGAGGTAAAGCGCCAAACCACACCGGAATTTGTCCGGTCAATGAATTGGCTTCCATATCTAAAAGCCTCAGGCGCTGCAAGAGGGACAACTCTTGAGGTATGGACCCTGAAAAATTGTCGGTAATATAGTTGTTTATCATTGTGAAACTGCATTAATCAAATAAGAAAGCCACTGCATTATTCTTAAAACAGTGGTTTTGCATTGATTAGTTATATATCCAACTTAATGGTTTAGTTTTGGGAAATGAGGTTCAGTTGGAAACATTTTCTTCAAAATATTTTTTTTTTTCTTTATTGGTGTGTAAGGAAAAAGTTATTATGTCATTTATATCTGGTGGTGCAAAGTAATGTGATGAGGATAAAAGTTTAATTTCATTAATAAATTTATATTACACGCAGAATCAGAGGAGACGTAGTTACCTCCATACCATTAAATTGATTGCAACTTATATCTAATAGATAAAACAATGCCTGCAACTTGTATTATGCGTGTTTTTTGGACTTTGCAACTTATAGTAATATGCAACATGAACTTCATGAGCATTCATAATTTACAAAATCGCCTTTATCTTGATTATACAGGTGTCCATTTTTACCAAGTTTTGGTTGAATTATACCAAGAAAAATGATGTATGTTGCTGCAAAGTCCAAAGAACACGTATACGTATAGTACAGATTGGAAAAAATGTTCATAACTAATATTTGGAGGGAATAACAATTGCCAATGTCCTTAGGGTTTTGTACCTGTGAACGTGTTGTTGGTCAGACGCATTATCTCGAGTTGAGGTAACTCCCCAAACCAGGTTGGTATTTGTCCGGCAAACGAGTTGAATCCCATATCTATAGACCTCAGGCGGCGCAGACGAGACAGCTCACGAGGTATGGGCCCCGTGAAATTATTATAACTGATGTCTAAGTATCTTAAAAACGTCAAGTTCCCAAGATGTGGGGACAGAGTTCCTCTGAGGCCAAAACCGGAAATGTTAAGTCCCGTCACTCTGTTATTGTGTTTGGTGCCGCACGAAACACCAATCCATTGACAAACAGAGGAGGAAGAGGTATCGATCGACCAGTTTTGGGCCAAGAGACGGTAAGGGTCGGAGGTGATGGAAGTTTTGAATTGGACAAGTGCGTTTTTGTCGGTTGTGGCGGCTAAGGATGTTTTACTGTTAATGATGCTGCTGAGTATTATAATTAGCAGGGTAGAGAAGATGAAGAAAGAATAATTATTCTCCATTGTTTTGTTTTTGGGCAGGTGATTGAGTTGATTCATATTCTAGGCTGTTGGCAAACAAACATATATATAGCCACAAAGAGGATATTTACATGACAACATGCGTTTGCCTTATTTTCTTGGGCAAACTGAAAACGAGTATTTTGCATTACAAAATAGAAATAACGACTTTAAGTGGAGGGGGTCCAACTCCAGTATCATAAGTATGGAGCCAAATTTTAATCAAATGCATTACAAGACCTTGACTCTCAAGTCAATGCTTATTGTCATTACTCTGAGTATAAAGTAAAAGTAGTGGTCCTTGCTTGCAGATAAGACTGTTTAATTCATATAAATTCGTTGTTTTTTTTTCAAATTTTTGTGTGTATTTAACAAGTTGCAATTTGGCCTTATACTATTGCCAGTTGCAATTTGGCCATATACTATTGTTATACTTATTAAGAAAATGCAAAACATAAGTTGAATTTTGTTATACCTTAAGGTGGGTGCTTGTGAGGTTGAAGATAATTGGCTATTTTTTCTGAAAGGTCTTTTTCTTTTTTTTTTTNNNNAAAAAAAAAAAAAAAACTCTAATTTGTTTACTTGAATAAAAATTGTCACACACACACATACAAAATGATTTACCTTATTTTCATCTGAAGGAGACTCTGGCCATATACTATTGTGTGCATGACTTTTCAAAGGTGTGGATCAAAACTTCTTAAAACAATGGCCACACGATTGAGTTTGGAGTTATATAGGAAATGACACACAAGAAGACTACTTGGATTCTGAACTTTAAATTTCTGTAATGTCTTGGGTTTAGTTGCTAAAATTATCTTGATATTTACGTTGATTTGAGTTGCAGCTAATTGGGATTATACTGGCTATATTTTGAAATTAAAAAATTTCTCGCGATATGTGTTTCTGTTTTCTTACTGCAAAACCTCAATAAGGTATACGTTATTAAGAAAATGCAAAACATAAGTTGGTTTTTGTTATACCTTAAGGTGGGTGCTTGTGAAGTTGAAGATAATTGGCTAATTTTTATGAAAGGGTCTTATTTCTTTTTGTTGCCTGTGATCTAAATATGCCAAGTGCTAACTGTTATTTCTTTTTCTTTACTTGTGTGTGCAGTCGCGGATGAACTTTACTTGAGGGAAACTGTGGAAGGCATGGCAAATGCTTGCTTACTGAGGCTACTTATCAATGTCCGCTTACCGTTTTACTCGAAACTTAAATATGATTAAGCTATAGTTTCCAGTTTGTTTCCGTGAGTCATTTGCAGTTGGACTGCACTATTATATTTCAGTGTGTGGGATATGTGGCCCTCCATTTGAGTGTCTCTGAGTTAATGTTGTGAACATTATTGCAAGACCTTGACTCTCAAGTCAATGTTTATTGTCATTAAGCCTATATCAATTTGTCCACTGTGTGTTGATTATGATAAGAAATGTTGGTCCACACAAAACTAATTATAATTTTCTGTCAAAATATGATAGCACTATGTTTTTGGCTGAATTATTGTAATGGCGATGGTTCGAGTTTTTGATCGACTGGTTTAGTGTGGGCTTGTTTAGCTTGCCAGCAATGATTTTCCGGTTGTTATCTTTGTTAGGAAAATTTTTGTGAAAGCACAGTTTTACATTACTAATATTGAGACATGAGATTGAAGACTTGTGTTCACTCATTCTCTCAACTTCTTAGACCAGTCGAAAGCTCAAGCTTCTTATCACA